TTCTGTGTTTTAAGGTAATTTTCTTCCTTATCCAATTTTTTTGCAATTTCAGACAGTTTTTCTAGCCTTATTCAGCATGAATGCAATTTTAATTTATGAAGAACATTCATACTATTTGTACTTCAACAATTTTCCTGTTCATCCAATTTCTACTTCTTCTTCAGCCCTTTAACCAATTTTACATTTTAACCTTCCTCCATTTTTTTTTTTTTTTGCAGTTTTGCATTGCTTTTTCAGCTTTCAGCACTCAGCATTTCCATGCATTTTCTGCAAGGAAATGCAATTTTTTCTAGTTTGAATTGATTTAGCTTATTGAGTAAAATACAGTAGTTAACAGTGTCAAAGGCCTTTTTTAGATCCAGGAACACTGTCCCTACAACATTTCCTTTGTCCAGAGAGGCTTTGATCTTCTCAAGCAGATTGCAGTTTGCTGTTTCTGTGGAATATTTTGTCTAAATCCAAACTGCTGTGGATGAAGCAGTCGGTTGGACTTTAAGTGTTCCATTTACTGTTCAGCTACAATCTTCTCCAGAACTTTGGAGACTACAGGGAGGATGGCAATGGGCCTGTAATTACTTGCTAGGTCTTTGTCTCCTGATTCATAAACTGGGGTAATTATTACAGTTTTCCAGCTCTCTGGGAAGATATTTTGTTTGTATTGAGAGGTTTACTAAATAAGTGATTGGCTCCAACAGACAGCTCAGATATTTTTTTGATAAACACAGCATTTAAGATATGGATATCCTTAGACATGGAGCTCCTCATGTTTGCAATCACTTTTTAACTTTATCATGGGATACCTCTTTTATATGCAAGGACTCTGTGTGAGCATGACTCTGTTTAAGGCAGTTTATTTTAGGGTGCGTTTGCTTACTTGAGTTAGTCAGTGATAAATGTGATTTATAAAGAGAAGAAGGGAGGTACAGTTAGTAGAAATAGGTTTATTCAGAGATAAATTGTCTGCTGGCGTCTCTGCAGCTGTGCTCTTTTTCTGTTTTGTGTTTTTTCTGTTCAGGTTGCTGTTCCAGCTGACGCCTGGTTTCGCCGGCTGTCTCATGATGTCAGTGCAAGCCGTCAAGTGTCTCCTGGCCTGGTTTCTTTGTTCTCCCTCTCCTCATTGCTGGCACATATACTTTATTATTCTATTTTTCAGGGGGGAAAGTTGGTGAACAAAATAACCTTCCCCCATGTTGGTGAAAAAGTTTCTTCACCTCTGATATTTGCACTGCAGAAAATATTTCAACCCCAATGAGTCAGTGTTATTTTGTGGATGTCTAAGATGTGAGAGTTCATATGTACACGTAGGAAATATTACTTCTTGTCTTTTTCGGCTAACTTTTTAAAGTCGTATCTCGTGTTAGTAGTTTTGTTTCAACAAACATAATACCAGCTGAAAATGAGCCACCCCCAGTCTTTGTTTTGTGTTATCTGGCTTTACAAGCATGTCCAACATTTGCTCTGATGCCATAAATTTCAAAACTTTTTTTGTCTTAAATTAGTTCATTCATTATTATATTTCTATTTCTGCCAAACTGGGACAAAGCTGATGTAGTAAATTGGTATTAGTAGCCCCAACCTCAGATTAGACTGACAGGTGATTATAACAGATGGTACTTGATAGGGCAAAACATCTACATAGAAACTGCACATTGCAGAATGAAATAGAAGACTCTATGAAGTTTGTGCACATTATTGCAGGTTTGACAGGAAAAACTAACTTGCCTGTGATGGAACAGGTTGCTAGCAGCTTTTGTGGCATTTTCATAACCCTGTTAATGTCAGATCAGGATGTGATATTTACACCTCTGTGACATCTTTCATATATGTATCAGCATTAAACACGAGTTTGTGTTGATTGTTTCATTTTTACTTTGCATTTGTGATCAGATGAGGTTGAGATATTGAACACCAGGTGAAATGAGTAAACAGTCTCAACAGTAATCATAGTGAATAAATAGTCACCATGTATCTCTTCCTTGGTTTATCCTTAGTCCCCTCCTTCAATCACAAGATAAATAATGGGTTTAAAACACAATGTGTGTGTGTGTGTGTGTGTGTGTGTGTGTGTGTGTGTGTGTGTGTGTGTGTGTGTGTTTAATTGAATGAGGTTAATTTACTCTCACTGTACTATAATGGCAAACAGAAACACCCTGACTTGGTCATTACCTGTTATAAATCGTAGATGATGCATTTTCAGATGTTTATCTATCCAAACAACATCACAAAATCAAGGGCAAAACTTTTTAACTCCATAAAATAAATTAGAAGACTTGAACTTAATGTTGAGTTTTGTAGCATTAAAAATTTTAAGTGTCTACATGATATCAAAGTGAATTACTATGCAACTGGATGTAAAGGAAACAAGGATTTAAAGTAGCACAAATATGGAAAAGCTCTCTTTAGGCTCTGAACTCTGTAACGGCTCCTCATTACTTCTTGTTTATAGGTACTCCTTGTATTTTTGTCTTATTTTGTACTCTTTTTACCTCTGGCACTTGGCTGCGGTATTTCTCAGTGGTCCTACTCTTCCATCACTCTCAAATCAATAGGCCACATTGGGGACGACAGAGGCAGAGAAAATCAAGTTTTAGTCCAGGTTCTCATTTCCCCGAACTCTGTTCTTCCTCATCCTTGTATTGGCTTTCTATTAGCGTCTCTGCCGTGTCACTGTATGTGTTCCTGTGTGTGCATGTGGAGTGGGACTCCATAAAAACACTTTATTTCACAGGGGCAGAGCTGAACAACCTGCATCAATGAGTTTGTGCACATGATCTTGTCCTTTTTGGAGGAGCCTGTGGAAATGTTTGCCTGAGATTTGTGAAACTTCAGTGATTCTCCATCCTAAAAACAGAAATTATTTCATATTTCTTTGTGATCACTGATTTGTGGAGATAATCAAACATTGTACAAACCAAAGATATGCAAATCAAAATCCCTGCCAGGTGGGGCAAGATTCGCTCACCGTGACAGGGTTGTTCTTTTCTGTTCATGATACATGTTTTTAGTAAGCAGCTTTTTGGCTGTGTTGAGTTATTGACTCTCATCATAGACTGTATATAGAATGGATGTCTTCTGCCTCCTTGGTTAAGCCTGTATGTGAACAGCACCCTCTGGTGACGGGCTGCAGTATTGGTCATAAACCCTGCCTCCTCCAGCAATCCTTATGGAGTTGAGAAATGAATTTAGAATTTAGAAATGAATTACACAGAATATAATTTTTTTTCCCGTCTGGTTGCAATGTTGACATGTAGTTAGACTGGTAAGACTGGTTTGTGCTCAAGTCCTCTTTTTTCTGTACAGCTCCATTTTGCTAGGGGGTTCATGTTTCTATGATTGACACTTGATACAGCATATGGGCATACGAAGATTGTGCAGATCATCCAGGAGATACGCTGTTTGAGCAGAGTGTCATCACAGCAACTCTACCACTTAACGCTGCTGCGCAAATGGCCGTTTCAGGAAATGAAGAAAATCCTTGAAATACAGAGAGCAACTTGGCTTTAAAATCATACATTGACGGGAGGCAGAAACACATTGTCCATACTCTATAAAGTCTATGGCTCTGATTGGTCAAAACCCCTTGACAATGGTTGTTAACTCTGTATAACATGAGCAATGTGTAACTGCAAAGACAATCAGAGCTGTCTAAATCAGTCCTTGGAAAGTAGTCCAGACACATTTTATGTCCGCTTGTTGACACTGTGGCAAAAATGTCAGTTTCTGTTAGTACACTGACCTGGTCAGCTTATCAACATGAATATCTCGATGTTAGATCCTCCAATCTGGTAAGGGGTAGAACGGCTGGTAAAAGCATCTCTGAGTAACCAATAGCTACAACATCAGAGGCAGTGATAACTGTACAAGTTGGTAGGTTTACATGCACCGTATAACACAGCTTGAAGAGTTGTGGGAAAAATTAGATTTGAAAAATGTGCAGTTTGATTCGGATTGGTGTGCTATTACCTTTCTCTATTGTATAGGAATTTTCCACTGCATTAGAAAATTTTGGATTAAAGCCAATGGGACATCCCCCCCCCAAAAAAAAAAAAAATAAATAAAAAAAAAACATAAAACAATTGTTGGATTTTTTCAAACATCAGGAATGTTTGTTGTAAGTGTCTTCTTGTATATAATATCACAATGGTGCTAGAATTAATCATTTAAGATTTCTGAAGAATCTCATTATAATGCACACATTCTGGCAGTAGTGCTTATGGCCTTTTTCAAAATTTCCCAGAGGGAATTTCTTGGTTGAATAATTGTTATAGTAGCATGCTTATGATTAACTTGACCATTCACTAAAACATTTAATGTTTGTGCTGCAAGAGGTTGGATTAGACTCAGTCTAATCCCCACACAACATGAAATTAAGGTTACTGTTTCTTTATTAACAGTACATATATTGTCTCATAAATTAACATTTGGGGCTCTATTTTCGTGCGCGCCGGTGAGGCGACAGAGGGTGGCGGACCCCGCGCAGTTGTATTTTCGTCTGGCGGAGCCCGGCGTATGGCCAGTTTGGTATTTTCGTGGACTGAGCCGCACGGAGGCGAGCCGAGATCCGCCAAGCTGGGCGTGGTGGCATGGCAGGGGGAGGTGTCGACAGAATCAGCGGGCGCAGTATCATTTTCGTGCTCGCCACCGGTGTGTAAAGTGCGCTGAAAGCTCGCCGATTCAAACCTGGTCAGCTTTAAGTGCATGGCGGAGCGCAGCTGGTCTAGTAGTATTTTGGTAGACCTGCGGCGTATCGACTGATGCCTCACCGGCAGGTTTCCACAGTGTCAGGCACATTTCAGTGCAATAAGTAATCATCAACAACTATTAATCTGAGTCAGCACATACATTTAGATCTATATAGATATATTCTGATCTATATCTGATCTGATGAGCGCGTTTGGCACGCGTTTGGACACACAACCTGACCGAATCAACACAGCTGAAACCGCATTAAATTAAACTAAATAAACACACATGATGAAGTTAACAAGATATGTAATTTGTCCTCCTTTTCTTTCTTCCTCTTCCTCTTATTTCTCGCACAGCTCAACCTGGACACGTCTCCGTGTCCTCTGTCCGTCTTGCTGCTGCTGCCGCTGAACAGATGATTTGTTTCAGTGCTCAGATGCGTTATCTACTTTAAGCCTATATACGGATATTATAATATTCAGTTTTGTGGGCCAAATTTATTTTATATGCCAACATCTATGAAAGAAAGAGCCAGGCCACGTAGCGCGATGCGTCATTTACGCACAGAAGGTTCCAATTTTAATGCCATTTTTGGAGTTTATGTTGTGATCTGTGCGCTCTACCCACCTTTGTCACGTGAGGTTTGAATATATGCAACTTTATGTGAGTGTCATTATTTGTGGAAAATAGTGTTTGTCTTACCAGTGGGTCCAACATTACACACACCAAATCCATCTGTGCTTATATGAGAGAGTGTGGAGGACGCCCAAGTGACACTTGTTGAGGAGCTGCCCTCTGTCGCCATCTTGTGGCATTACTGTCTTAAGACATCTCTTGATCTCTTTGACTACTTCATGAAAATAGTTATACGCCTCGCCTGTGGCGGATTTAAAGGCAAGGAGAGGAGCTTATGTGATTGGTGAAAACAGGTCTCGGCTGTGTTAAACCCACTCTCCGCCCTATCTCCTACCTCGCTACGGCTTAAGCTGCTGGGAGGAGCTGAGTTAGGGAGGGGGGATACTTACGTCGATACTTGGTGCGCGGCTCACCAAAATGTGCTTGGTAACGCCTTGTCAGCACGGCGGATCTGACTGATGCCGCGCTTGCGGCACGTCTCCGGCGAGGCACGAAAATAGAGCCCATAGTGTCATATTTACAGCTTTGGTCTTTGGCTGGTAATGAGCAGTATATGTAGATGAAACTAAAGATGGTCTAGTCTAAATAACTACCTGTTCACTGTCCATTGTCCCTCTCTCACTCTACAGACATGTGTATTATTAAGTCGCCCAAAAGAGCTCTTGTCTGTGACAGAGAATGAAGGCCATTAAAGAAATTATGAGTAAAATAATTTTATTATGAGAATAGAGTCATCAGACTATCGAGTCACATGGTTGGTTAAAGTGTTTAAAGTGTCCCTAATATTTTGTCTCCTTGGATCCACACTGTTTTAAGGATCAGAACTCTAAAAAGACTGAGCAGAGAGCTGAGATATGTGACACCATGAGGCTGACCACTGACTAAACGAACAACCTAATGCTTTTGACATAAAGATTTTATTCTTGAAATGTTACATAACTTTATTCGCTTAATTTGACATTACAACTTTCTTTCCATAACATAATGACTTGAGTCTCCTAAAACAATGACTTTGATCATGTAACTAAACAGTTTTATTCTTTTGAAAAAATGACTCGAAGAATTCAGTCTTAAAAAATCATGGCATGATCTTAATTATTGCTTGGTAGACTGCAGGTAAAGCAGGATGGGGTATTGAGTGGTGCCTTAAATACTTCTTTGCCCCATTATTCTTTCTCTCCCAAATTTCTTCTTCATTTCTTTTTCTTTTTTCACTCTTTCCACTTGATTTCTGTCAGCAACACTTTGCCTTCCTCCATTTGTGTATGTCTTTGTCTTCTGCTCCTCTCATCTTTCTCTTTCCTTCATCTAATCCTGCTGAAAAATCACAGGTTAATAAAAATCTGTTTTTCCAAACTCAGGGAGGATCTTGAAGAAAAAAAATAAAAAATTTGACCAGAAGGTCAACACCTCAATCCCAGACTTGGCAGGAAAAAATACTTCCACTGAAATGTGTGTGAAGGTTAAAAAACTGTTTTATAAAGAAAAACACATTCTTTACCTGCCCCAAAAACTCTATCTTCTTGTGAGGCCTGTGGGAAATCTTGGACCCATCGGTTGAAAAACCCTAAAAACCATGTTTAACATTTTTGGATGAGTAACAAAGGGACAGTCCAGAGCCTTAAAGAACCACATGCAAGGGCCTAAAATTATGCTTCAGTAAGAGTCATGAGAGCTGAAAAAATACTTACTGACAGTGACAAAACTATCTCATCCTCTACTCCAGGATGTTCTTCATGCTGCTGGTTTCTCGGAGCTACTTAACAGAGTGTAGTTACAACAACAGCCACAAAGCCTCATATCTTAAATAAACATTTGTCATTTCCAATCAGTTCAGAGATTACAGACACAAACCTTCCTGTCTTAACCAGATGTGCTTGAATATTTCTCTGTCCACAGTGCAATGTAAATATGATTGAAAATGCCTGAGTGTCCCAGACCAATAGATGGCAATAACACTTAATGAGTGCATAATGTCTATAATTTAATCGGTCACAGTGATAGTATTGCCATGTTGTCATTTTACCTTCAACACAACCTGTCCTGCAGTGTGTTGTTGTGGTATAGCTAACAGTACTAGCAACAGCAGGAGCTACTTTCTGACTTTGTTTTCAACTCCTACAGGGGATCACAGTTGACCTGGGTGTGACCTCATTCCCCCAGCATCCTCTGGTCTATCACTTATGACAAGCACGTCACTGTTTTCCAAAGCTTTGGTACTAAGCTTTGGTTCAGTCTACATATGGGTAGGGCCTTAAATTTTGTCCTTTCCCTGTTCTTGTGTAACTGAGCTATCCATAAGAACTTAAACCTCTGCTAAAGGACACACAGACGCATCCTGAGGACATGGTCAGTGTATCTGTGAGGTCATTCTGTGGCGAGTGGCTGCCACTGCTGCTCTGAGTGCAGTTCTGTTTAAACTCTCCCAAAACCCAGAGGAAACAGAAAGATGGTTTGGGTCCTTGCACAAACACACACAGGATCATGTTTACAATATATTGTTGACTGTGTAAAGGCCATTGTGGACTCCTGCAGTGAAGTCTGTGTGTGTGAGTATGTGTGTGAGTGTGAAGAGAGTGCACTTTATGACAAGTCATAAAACAAAAGACAGCAGCTATGGCCCCGGGAGAGGTTATTTCACTGGAGGTGGCTACAAGTCTCACAAACACACACACACAGCTGGAGTCACCGCTAGCAGTGGCCCTCAGATGAAATAAAGGGACAGAGAATGCAGGAAGAATAAGAGGGGACACAAAAAAGAGAGCAATCATTAAGAAGCCATAGAAAGAGAGAGAAACAAAAAGGAAAATTTCAATGACAACTGATTATTTATGATGGATTTTCAAAGCTCTTGAAAAGGTTGTTCAAGTACCATAAAGTGGCGGAAGGGATCAGAAGAAAATGAAAGTCAAGACATTAACTTATGTGAAAGACAAAAAAATAAAGTTATAGTCACAAGTCATCTTGTCATGAGAATACAGTCATGTACAGACAACAAAGAATTAAGTCATTTGGTTACAAGGATAAAGTTATTTTGTACTGAAAAGAAAGTCATTGTATGATGTCAATGAAGACCTTGGGCTCTATTTTCGTTCGCGCCGGTGAGGCGGCGGAGGGCGGCGAGCCCCGCGCAGTTGTATTTTCGTCTGGCGGAGCCTGGTGTAAGGACTGAGTCGCACGGAGGCGAGCCGAGATCCGCCAAGCTGGGCGTGGTGGCGTGGCAGGGGGAGGTGTTGACAGAATCAGCTGGCGCAGTGACATTTTCGTGCTCGCCACCGGCGTGTAACGTGCGCTGAAAGCTCGCCGATTCAAACCTGGTCAGCTTTCAGCGCAAGGCGGAACGCAGCTGGTCTAGTAGTATTTTGGTAGACCGGCGGCGTATCGACATACGTCACTGATGCCTCACCGGCAGGTTTCCACAGTGTAAGGCAGATTTCAGTGCAATAAATAATCATCATCAACTATTAATCTGAGTCAGCACATACATTTAGATCTATATAGATATATTCTGATCTATATCTGATCTGATGAGCGCGTTTGGCACGCGTTTGGGCGCACAACCTGACCGAATCAATACAGCTGAAACTGCATCAAATTAAATTAAATATCTAGTAAATAAACACACATGATGAAGTTAACAAGATATGTAATTCGTCTCCCTCCTTTTCTTTCTTCCTCTTATTTCTCGCACAGCTCGACCTGGACACGTCTCCGTGTCCTCTGTCCGTCTTCCTGCTGCTGCGGCTGAACAGATGATTTGTTTCAGTGCTCAGATGCGTTATCTACTTTAAGCCGACATACGGATATTATAATATTCAGTTTTGTGGGCCAAATTTATTTTATATGCCAACATCTATGAAAGAAAGAGCCAGGCCACGGAGCGCGATGCGTCATTTACGCACAGATGGTTCTGATTTTAATGCCATTTTTGGAGTTTATGTTGTGATCTGTGCGCTCTACCCACCTTTGTCACGTGAGGTTTGAATATATGCAACTTTATGTGAGTGTCTTTATTTGTGGAAAAGGGTGTTTGTCTTACCAGTGGGTCCAACATTACGCACACCAAATCCATCTGTGCTCAGATGAGAGAGTGTGGAGGACACTTGTTGAGGAGCTGCCCTCTGTCGCCATCGTGTGGCATAACTGTCTTCAGACATCTCTTGATCTCTTTGACTACTTCATGAAAATAGTAATACGCCTCGCCGGTGGCGGATTTAAAGGCAAGGAGAGGAGCTTATTTGATTGGTGAAAACAGGTCTCGGCTGTGTTAAACCGACTCCACGCCCTCTCTCCTCCCCGTCTATGACTTATGCTGCCGGGAGGAGCTGAGTTAGGGAGGGGGGATACTTACGCCGGGCTGCGCGGCTCACCAAAATACCAAAATGTGCTTAGGAACGCCTTGTCAGCGCGGCGGATCTGATTGACGCTGCGCTTGCGGCACGTCTCCGGTGAGGCACCAAAATAGAGCCCCTTATGTTACAGGAATAGAGCTTCAATGTGAATATGTCAGAGGAATAACATTGCTATGTTATGAGAAGGATGCTCACTTCACAGAAACGTGGACCTCCACGGTTTTATTTTTGGCATTAAGTCCACAAACTCGAGATTTGATTGGAGCTAACATATCCAGATGCATTTTAAAGATTTTAGAATCAAAATTCTTACAATCAATGCCGTTAGTTTTGTTTTGAGCTGCAAAATTTTCCAAGCAAATCCACAGTGTAATCTTCATTGCAATACTTAGTCTAGATGTTATTTCTCAGATAATCTTGAAGTTCTCTCTACGAGTTAACTTGTTCGACTTTTGGTTATTTAAGTTTTGAAAGTTAACATGAGAGTTATGATGATAAACTGAGTCCCAGAGGTCTTTCTCTGACATGGTCATTTGAAGGCATTGCTGTATCTGCAGCTTTTTAGTAAATAAGAGCCCCTCTGTGAGCCGAAAGTCACTGATTATGATGTCTCTGGCAGAGAAAGGGTGAGTCATCTAATTGAGGCAGAGTTTTGCTCAGTTAGTGCTGGGGTGGAACAATGTGGACGTCTCTCCTGTTTAGCTGTTAAATCTGCTGAGAAAAACCTCCAGCAGACAATTTATTTAACACTAATGTGTTTACAATCATTTAATGAGCTGACTGTGGCCAGTGGCTCTTTGCAGCATATGTAGCACTCTGCAGCTTCAAACCTACATTTCTTATTTACATACATTATAAGCAGAATTACCATTGGCAGTCTGCTGATTATTATTATTATGGGGCCAACTGCTCCACTCACAGTCTAATGCTTAGTGTCTGTCTGTCTGTCTGTGTGCCTGTCTGTCTGTATATCGTAGCTCTTATGAACCTGGGTAATGTTTGTTAGGGAGTTAATCAGCTGTTATTATCACACTAATAATCCTGTGACTATCTGCATTGGTGTTTTTGTTGTTTTTTTTCTTTCAGCAAGCTCCTTCTAGACATATGGAGGCTGTCCTGACCGATTTGTTTATTTATTTAGAAATTATTTATCTATTTAGAACTGCTATTTATTACTGTATTTGTTTTTAATGATGCACTGACTGTCTGGCACTTTTTTAATTTCGTTGTACTGGTTACAATGACAATAAAGGACTATTCTATTCTATTCTATTCGATTTCACTGAATTATTAGGGCACATTTAGGAGATTAGTTGAGGTTACCATGCACTCTTTTCTTTTTTTCTTTTTTTTTTTCAAGGAAACAGGGCTGTTTAGCCTGAAGCCAAATCTGATATAGCCAGAGGTAGGGAAAGGTGGTTAAATATGAGTATCTGCCAAAAGTTTACCTGATTTTATCAACTATCAGATATAATAGCAGTAAGTAGTGTGAAAGTAATGTATCTTATTCTGCACTAAAAAGAGAAAAAGGTTTAGCTACAGCAAGAGTAAAAATTATATCTGTGGTGTGGATATTTTTCACAGTTAAAAGGAGGACAACAAAACTGCAATGTGCAAAACATGTGAGTGTTGAGAAAGGAGGGAAAGTGTCCTCAAAATCGGACCCAATGGGCTCTATTTTTGTGCCTCGCCGGAGACGTGCCACAGGCGTCCCCAAGCACAGTTTGGTATTTTGGTGAGTGGCGCAGCCACGCGTAAGTATCCCCCCTCCCTAACTCTGCTCCTCCCAGCGGCGTAAGTCATTGCGAGGGAGGAGAGAGGGCGTGGAGTGGGTTTAACACAGCCGAGACCTGTATTGACCAATAAAATCAGCTCCTCTCCTCGCCTTTAAATCCGCCACCGGCGAGGCGTATTACTATTTTCATGAGTAGTCAAAGAGATGAAGAGATGCCTGAACACAGTGATGCCACACGATGGCGACAGAAGGCAGCTCCTCAACAAGTGTCGCTGCAGAGGGCGTCCTCCACACTCTCTCATATGAGCACAGATGGATTTGGTGTGTGTAAGTTTGGAGCCACTGGTAAGACAAACACCCTTTTCCACAAATAAAGACACTCACATAAAGTTGCATATATTCAAACCTCACGTGACAAAGGTAGGTTGTGCGCACAGATCACAACATAAATTCCAAAAATGACATTAAAATCGGAACCATCTGTGGGTAATGACGCATCGCGCGCCATAGCCTGGCTCTTTCTTTCATAGATGTTGGCATATAAAATAAATTTGGCTCACAAACCTGAATATTATAATATTCGTATGTAGGCTTAAAGTAAATAACTCATCTGATCACTGAAACAAATCATCTGTTCAGCCGCTGCAGCAGGACGGGACGAGGATATGGAGATATGTCCAGGTCTGGCGACGTGAGAAATAAGAGGAAGAGGAAGAAAGAAAAGGAGGGAGACGAATTACATATCTTGTTAACTTCATCATGTGTGTCTATTTACTAGATATTTAATTTAATACGATTTCAGCTGTGTTGATTCGGTCAGGTTGTGTGTCCAAACCAAGCCAAACACGCTCATCAGATCAGATATAGATCAGAAAATATCTAGATCTAAATGTATGTGCTGAGTCAGAGTATTAGTTGTTGTTGATTATTTATTGCACTGAAATGTGCCTGACACTGTGGAAACCTGCCGATACGCCGCCAGTCTACCAAAATACTACTAGACCAGCTGCGCGCCGCCTGTGCTGAAAGCTGACAAGGTTTGAATCGGCGAGCTTTCAGCGCACTTTATACGCCGGTGGCGAGCACGAAAATGTCCCTGCGCTTGCTGATTCTGTCGACACCTCCCCCTGCCACGCCACCACGCCCAGCTTGGCGGACCTCGGTGCGCCTCAGTCCACGAAAATACCAAACTGGCTGTACACCGGGCTCCGCCAGATGAAAATATAACTGCGCGGGGTCTGCCACCCTCCGCCGCCTCTCCGGCACACACGAAAATAGAGCCCGATATATCTTATCACTCGCCTGATAGTCGTCAGGGTAACAAAGATGTATAAAGATATTCAGTGATGTTACTAATGCCTGTTTATCAGGCCCTAAAAGTGCAGAAAGTAAAGCAAGGACAGCCAAATCAACTGATGACCAAATCAGTGAATTTCCAGCATTAAAACCCACATTTACATGAAAGAGGGCCGAGGATGTCTTTAAAAGCTTTAAATTATTTTTAATGTTTTATGCAGTTTCTTCTAAAAAAAAGTTTTTAATTATTTTGTTCTCTATTAAAGTGAATAAAATAGTACCACAAAAAGTGCTTTGGTGTGTTTTAGGTCGACAACTGTAATTTCACCTGGAATTGGTAAGTAAAAAATATAAGAAAACAAACAGATATGTCTCAGCCTTTTTCTGAAAAAAGAAATTAACAAAACCCTAACGAAAAATATTTCACAAAACACACAAAAGTGTTTAACAAAAGGATGAAACATTGTACATAATAAAAAAAACTTCACAAAGCAAAAATCTATTTTGGTAACATAAAAAAAAAAAAGGAAACAAAAGTTTTTAAATAATTAACAGAATGGATTTTTCTTTTAAGGTTTAAAAATCACTTTATTGAACATAGAGGCATTTAAAAAAGGTTTATAAAAAATCCTAAAATATAGACAATTTAAAATGTAAAAATTACAAAAAGTGGAAATATTTTTGAAACAAATAAATAGAACAAAAAAATACTGAAATCAAAAATGTATGCATTAAATGCAGGAATATTGGACAAAATGGATATATTTATGATTTTTTAAAAGTGTAGTAGGAAATCATTTACTCAGAAAAACATTTGACTAAATGCACAAAAGTTTAACAAAACCCAAAGCAAATTATTGAAAAAGAAATTTACCCTAATCTTAAAATATTCTAGGAATCACAAACAATTAAAAAATGGAAAATAAAATTTTAAAGTATTATCGTGAAACACAGAAAACATTTACAAATGTTGAACTGTTCAAACAAAAAAAAATGAAAATCTGACAATCCAATACTTTTTCTTTGAAGTTCAGAAACATGGGATAAAATTCCTGTGAGATTATTTTTTTTTAATTTCAAACTAAATCCTTATTCACAAAAGAATTACCAGAAACCTTCAAAAAATAAATAACAGAAACATTCTCATAACTCAGATATATTTTGAAAAATGTTTAAAAAAAACAATAACAAAAAACAATTTTGAAAAACAATAATTCACCAACCAGAAAAATGATAAATGAGACATTTAGATTTCACAAAGATTTAAAAGTAAATATAGTTACAAAGAAAGTTTGTATAAATGGAAAATTTACACTTTTTACAATAAAATATTGATGAAAAAACACAACATTAAAATGTGTGTGTGATCAAAAGCCTGAAGTGAAATGTTTACTCCTTGAATAAAATATTCTTGTGTTTTGTGAAATGCTCACTGCCTCCATGAAGGGCTCTAAGTCACAGTTTGTGGGTCACAACAAAAAAGTAAAGAAAAATTAAAAATACTTGGTTGTTTTTTTTTTTTTTTAGTTTTTGGTTCTCTGATTTTTATGATCAAAACAAAAAATGGAAAACAGGTTGTGTTCCATTTTGTTTTGTTTCCGTCAAAAAGTGACTTTTCTTTGGATTTTGTGTCACAGTGCGAGGTTATAACCAATCAAATAGAGAGTGTGAACATGTGACATGTTGCCCCACAATCAAGTAAGTTGTTTCACTACATGGCGTAAGATGTCACAGTGGATTTAGCAGCTAATAAAACAAAGAAAAAAATATTGTTGCTCTCATTTTGTTACTTAAGAGTGAACATCAAAGGCAGGCAAAAAATGTTTATCATTGAGCTAGTCGTTGAACATAGCCATTGTACAAACGTTAACATAAAATATTATGCAACATGCTCTGGAGTTTGGAGAGCTGTCTGACTCTGTATTTCGGCGGGTGAATGTTTTGCAGTACTGAGCCAAGGTATGGTAGTTGATATTAAAGTCCTTTATTGTCCTTCAGATTGATTTACTAGCAAGGGTCACCTGTCTGACTGCCCTCAGCATCACATCAGGCACTGCACTGCCACGTTCTGTTTTTCTTTTGAAATTTCTGACCATGTCTTCTTGCTTTCTCCTCTCCTTTAAACCACTCTTTTTTCTGTTAAAATCAAGTCAAAATTTAATCATGAAAACTGCTGATAAGCAGACTCTGTGTTAATTCTAATCCCTTTTAAACATGTGACAACTAACCCCAAAATGACTGAGACATGTTGCCCCAAACTAACATGTATGCTAATTCTAGCTCTTTCTAAAAATTAGCTTATAACAAAACAATAACTGAGGTATGACAAGATGACTTATCTATCTATCTCCTCTGACAAGTCCACATGTATCACTGCTGGGATTTTTATCTGGAAGAAGCTTATTTTAAAATATATAAAGTTAACTCTCCTGTTGCATTAGTTTGTGCTTCTTGATCAGCAGCTAGCATAGCTGGATAATGTGAGTAAAATTTATTTGGCATGTTTTTATTGGTTGACTCTCAGATGGTAATTATTTTACATTTTTATATTTTGATAAAACTTGCTTAAACCTTTGACACCACATGCACATTTACTGTTGATGAGTGTCCGTCTCCAATCAGTATTAGCAAATATCAGAGCTGTACAGGTTTGAAACTTGGAATCTGATCCTTCTTCAGAAGAGGATTCTTGATTATGTTTTGCATAAGAACTCCTTTCCCATTCTTATTTTGTTCAAAACTTAATGTGTCTTTAGTGCTTGAATCATGCAAATATTCATGTGATAGCATTGGAACGCGGCATTTAAGGAGGGTATTCTTTACCCTATAAAACAATCAAGGGTTTTAAATTGGTCATTAACACCAACATTTTCTTCTGTCTTTAGAACAAAGAAGATACCTCTTTGTTCAGTTACATTGATTACACACCTGACACTGAGGGAAGTCTTTCTGATGACAGGATTCCCTTTGTTCCCTGAAAACAAACTACAGAGGTCACGATTACCCAAACTAATTCTAGCAACAAAGACATGCCAAGACAGAGAGAGCAGCTCCACAGTCAGCTCAGAGGAGGACAGCAGCTCTACAGTCAGCCCAGAGAAAGAAAACAGAGGAGAAGAAGACTATGTAGTGAGGAAGATGAAACTGACAAACTGACAGGGAAAGAGAAGAGTTGGACAGTCAACCCAGGGAAAAAGAAGAGCAAACTAGTCCATCTAGAAACAGAAAGCAGCTCAAAAGTCAGCCCACAGGCAGCACAGTAGAAGACTATCAAGTGAGGGAGAAGAAGAAACTGCAATTCAGTCCAAGGAAAAAGCAGAGATGGACAGCCAGCCCAGAAAAGGAAGACAGCAGAGAAGAAGACTATGCAGACAGTAAGAAGAGACTGCCATTCAGTCCAGGGAAAAGGAAGAGCAAACCACTCTGCCGGGGGAGAGAAAGTAGCCCGATATTCTGCCCAGAAAGAAGAAAACCTGACTCAAGTGCTGTCTACTGCAAATACTCATGTTTATTGAGTGTATGACAAGAGGAACTATTGCATTTACTGTTCAAAGCCAACATCAAAACTTGCATGACATCTACAGACTGTTCATCAAAATAAGGCAGAGGTTGCAAAAGCATTCTATTATCCTAAGGATTCCAAAGAGTGCGAGATAGGTTGGCCATTTTTAGGGACAGAGGAAACTTTGCCCACAACACAGATGTGGCTAGGAAAGGAACTGGACATCTTGTTGCACGTTATGAAACTAAAGAAAGCAGACATGGTAAGGATTTTATTCACTGTGTTCACTGTCAAGGTCATTACTCAAAAAAAAAAAAAAAAAACATTGTGGAAACATATCAAAATCTGTTGAGAGAAGATGAGAGAGGACATGCCTCAAGCTGGCAGAAAGAGAGTCTGGTCCCTGTGTGCTTTTACTACACCTGTTGGTCTAGAGATTAGTGAGAACCTGAAGAAGATTCTTATTCACATGAACTATGATGAATTTTCACATGTTGTTCAGAAAGACAAATGCATCCTGCAACTTAGACAATATACTGTATGTTCAACAAACTGAAGAACAACGGGAACAATAATGATGACTACATACGTCAAAAGATGAGAGAAGTGGGAAGAATGATCCCTGAAGCCCAAAAGGACCATGAACTCCTCAACCTGAAGAAGGTGGAGTCCTTCATTCCTAAAAACTTCCCACATGTAATATCTGAAGTGAAGAGAGCCGCAGGATATGATCCCAAAAGCAACACATATCAAACCCCATCTTTAGAACTTAAGCTTGGCCACAGCCTAAAGAAAATATCCGGTATTATAGAGAGTTTCTCTACATGATGTTTGGTGATCATGTCACAGCAGAATATGCCAAAAGTTAGGGCTATACATGACAGCAGATGGGAAGCAGATGGGAAGAGTTCATCTCTGCAGGAGCATTAAACACTCTGAAGGAGGCCAAGTGGAATATGCCACAGGTGTTACCATTCAACCAAGATGTGAAGCTCTTGAACTTTCATATGGAGAACCAGCAAATTGTGTTGGAGAGAATCTCCCCGACTCATGAAAACTATGCTGCCCTGGCTAAGTTGACACTGGCTTTAGCCATTACATTTAACAGGAGAAGAGCAGGAGAGGTATCACGGATGTTACTGACTGCCTTTAGGACCCAGAACAAGTCAACGTTGCACGTAGACCTGGCTATCTGCTTGACTCCATTCGAGAGGAAGATGTGTGAGTTCTTCACTCCAGTGGAGATCCGAGGGAAACGTGGGAGAATGGTCCCTGTCCTGTTAAAACCATCCATGGTGACTTCTGTGGAGCTGCTAGCTGAGACACGCGAGAGCTGTATTACTTACTCATGTTTGCAAGACCAGAACCTTTCTTTGATATTTTTGCCCTTTGAAAAGTAACACTGTTATGAAAACAAGGTCACACATTTGTGTTTTTACAAGAGTTTTACTGGATCTTGCCTTTAAGGCTCAGAGTTCTTCTGCACATTTAAATTAGCTAATAGTACACCTGTCATCTGCTTTCACAGAGAAAGTACCACCCTCAAATGAAGAAGGGGATGCTTCAAGTGACATTTCAAGTGAGGAAGAGGAGTGTACCAGCACTGACAGGACTGCATACCTCCCAGCACAGACAGGACTGCATCTTCAGAACCACCAACTGCACCAACATTATTAAGAAATGTTTTAAAGTACTTAAACAGAAACAAGGTTTAAAAGTTATTTTGAAATATTGAAAAGAAACACGGTTGAAATGTTTAAAAGCAGTTAAAGAAAAGGTTTCGGTGTAATTAAGAAGTTTTAAAGATTAATTAATCTGCCAGAAGAAGGTGAAGGTCGCTTATCCTCAGAATTTATATCTGCACTCCTGACCGACATATTACAAGGAGATCGACCTCCTCCAGAACTAGAGGCCGTATACCGTGTGGGGAAATCTACACCTGCCGCTGAACAAAGACCTCTACCCATCATCATTCGATTTGCACGCTGCAGACAAAGGAACCAGGTGCTTGCTTTGGCAAAAGAACGTGGACAACTTTTCTATCAAGACCGCAAGATCTACCTCTTTCCTGACATGAGCCGGTCTCTGGCCATGAAGCGAGCAGCCTTTAAAGAAGTTAAGTCAAAGCTTTACAAAGAAGGCATCAAGTTCTCTCTACGCTTTCCAGCCATGCTGCTGGTCACAACGGAGGACATGGAGTACAAATTCTACACTCCTGCAGAGGTAGAGAAATTCACTGAAGATCTCGCAAAATAGTAATTTTGCAACAACAAACAGCCTACGGTTGATGTAATTTTTTTTCTTTTTCTCTCCTCCCCTTTTTCTCCCTTTCTTCTTTATTATTACGATTATTATTATTATTATTATTATTATTATTATTATTATGTAGATATATATTTTTTCTTTTTTTAAATAGCTTTTTTCTTTCAGACTTTTTTTTCTTTTCTTCTTTCTCCTGGTTTGAATTTTTTTTTTCTTTTCCCTTTTTGCTGTGATCTTTTGAATTCAGTCTTCTCAGTATTTGTCTGCTAAATATTCAGACATAACCTTAGATATGTAAACCACTGCTGCTGCTTATATTCGTCTATGCCTTTCTCGACATAAATCTGTTTTCAGCAAAGTTTAACACTGATTGTATTTTTTTTTCCCTTATCCTTGATCTCTAAATCTCGTTACAGTTATTGCTATTAGTTATTCATTATTATTTATTATACCCACTTTTTCCTTTTTTTTTTTTTTTTGCTTCTCATATTAACAACCCACCCAGGGGGGAGAAGAAGGGGGGGAGGGGGAAGGGAAGAAGGGAAAAGAAGAAAGAAAGAAAGAAAGAAAGAAAGAAAGAAAGAAAGAGGAAGGGGGAGGGAGGAATGAGAAGGGGGGAATATGTTGGGAAATCGCTAATATTTCGCAGTTTTGATTTTTCTTTCCTCGTTTTGTTCTTCCCTTTTTTTTCTCTCTTTTTCCCTCTTCTGTTTTTTTGTTAATCAACTCTCTTTTTTCTCCTTGAAAAACTCTCTTTTGAGTTGTGTGTTTGTTTGTTTTGTCTTTTGTTTTTGTTTTTTTACCTCTTCCTCCCTCTCTGAAGTATGAGGTTATAACAGATAAGCTTGGGGGGCTCCTTTGGGGCGATAAGGGTAACATCCTCACTCAAATACCGGGGGGTTTAGTAAGTGGTCTTGCCGAAAGCTCATCACTTTCTGATGAGCACAGGCGCTGGGGTTGGGTTGGGGAAGGGATTTTTTTTTCTCTTGTTTTGTTTTGTTGGTCTTTATTTGCACATATGTATCACAGTGTTGTTTTGATCTCATGTATATCTCCCATTTGTCAATAGACTCCTATGACCGAGAACCCACTTAGAGGGATAAAGGGAGACACTGTAAAAATTGTATCATGGAATGTGAGGGGTATGAACAGTCAGAAGAAGCGTATAAGGGTCTTCTCCCACTTGAAATATTTAAACGCTGACATTTCTTTTTTGCAAGAAACACATCTGCGTACTGTAGATCAACAATATCTTAGCAGACCCTGGATTGAATTTATTTTTCATTCAAAATTCAATGTTAAAACAAGAGGCACTGCCATACTCATTAATAAAAATATCAATTTTATTCATTCTAATACCTTTTGTGACACTACTGGGCGTTTTGTCATAGTCAATGGATGTCTTAATCTTACTCCAGTGGTCTTGGTAAATGTTTACGCTCCAAACTGGGACGATGTAGAATTCATGAAAAAACTCATATCATCAATTCCCAATTTAGATTCTCACAAATTGATATTTGGAGGTGATATTAACTGTGTGATGGACCCCACTTTGGATAGATCCAGTTCTAGGAAAGTTTCTCCATCTAAGATGTCCCAGGTCCTGTTCACCTTTATGGATCAGTGTGGCAGTGTTGACCCATGGAGATTCCTCCACCCAACTGGTAAGCAATTCTCATGCTTCTCACAAGTTCACGCATCCTACTCCCGGATAGATTATTTTTTTGTAGACAAGTCTCTTCTTCCCTCTACAATCTCAGTTGAGTATTCTCCTATAGTTATTTCTGACCATTCTCCGGTCATACTTAATTTAAAGTTTGAACATGGACAGAAAAAACATCGTTCTTGGAGACTAGACCCTACATTGCTATCAGACGGCAATTTCTGTAATACAATTAATCAAGCAATTAATCTTTTTATGCAGACCAACAAAACTGAGGACATCAGTCCATCTTTACTGTGGGAGACCCTTAAAGCTTTTCTTAGAGGGGAAATAATTTCTTATGCAACTTATACTAATAAACAAAAAAAAAAAGAGACAGTCTGACTTAATGGAGGCAATAGCCAAATTAGATCATGAATGCGCTATTTCACCATCTCCTGCTTTGCTACAGAACAGACTGGCGCTTCAAACTGAACTGAATCTTCTTTCTACTAGAGATACAGAGCAAATATTAAAAACCCGGGGAACTCTGTATGAGTATGGAGATAAAGCAGGGCGTCTCCTTGCACACCAGTTGAAAAGTGATACAACATCCAGACAAATAACGCAAATAGTAAATAGTTCAGGATCCCTGACAGTTAATCCCATCGAAATTAATGAAATTTTTAGTGCTCATTACTCTGATTTAGATCAAACATCTCAGATGATGAAACTAATATGTCAACCTTTTTCTCCGACCTTAACATCCCCAGAGTTACACTAGAATCTCACAATAAGTTAGAGGCCCCTTTAAGTATTAATTAAATAACAGATGCCATTTTTTCCATGCAAAGTGGAAAATCCCCGGGCAGTGATGGTTTTCCCATCGAATTCTATAAAACATTTTCTCCTCAGTTAGTACCATTACTGTTTGAAATGTTTGAAGACTCCTGTCAACGGGGTTCTTTACCCTTGACGCTTACTCAAGCCTCCATCTCAATGATTCTTAAGAGGGACAAAGACCCAACGCTTTGCGGCTTATACCGACCTATCTCTCTTCTCAATTCAGATGTAAAAATATTAACAAAAACCCTCGCATGTAGATTGGAGTCTATTTTACCCTCTGTTATTTCTGCCGATCAAACAGGGTTTATTAAGAATCGACACTCCTTTACTAATTTACGTAGACTTTTAAATATTGTTTATTCTAAACCCTCTCAGACTAGCCCTGAGGTGGTTGTTTCACTTGATGCCGAGAAGGCTTTCGATCGAGTGGAGTGGCAATATCTGTTTTTTACTATGAGAAAATTTGGTTTTGGTGAGAAGTTTATCTCCTGGATTCATTTGATTTACACTTCTCCACAGGCACGAGTATTAACAAACAATCAATCATCACAGTTTTTTCCCTTAACAAGGGGCACTAGACAAGGTTGCCCCTTGTCCCCACTGCTTTTTGCTTTAGCCATTGAGCCCCTTTCTATTGCTTTGAAAAGTAAAAAAAAAAAATTCTGGTATCGAGAGAGGCGGTAGCGAACATAGGGTTTCTTTATATGCCGATGACCTCCTCCTATATGTTACAAACCCTTTAAGTTCTTTCCCTCACATTTTAGCCACTCTTAACTCTTTCGGAGCCTTCTCTGGCTATAAGTTAAATATTCAAAAAAGTGAATGTTTCCCTGTTAATCAACTAGCACATGGGATATCTCAAGCTGACATCGCTTTTAAATTATCTACTAGTTTTAAATATCCTGGAATTATTATCACTAAATCTATTAATTCACTTTTTGAAGAAAATTTTGAAGCTCTAACCATTAAAGTAAAAGCTGATTTACAGAGGTGGAATAACTTACCTCTCTCTTTGGCTAGCAGAGTAAATTCGATTAAAATGAATATCCTTCCCAGATACCTTTATTTATTTCAGTGTCTACCGATTTTCTTACCTAAACAATTTTTTCGTAAATTGGATACAGTTATTTCAAACTTTATATGGGTAGGTAAAACCCCAAGAGTTCGTAAATCCTTGTTACAGAGGGAACGTGCAAAAGGGGGACTGGGTTTGTCAAATTTTCAATGTTTCTATTGGGCCGCAAACATACATAAAATTATGTTCTGGATGACAGAAGCAGACTATAATTGGACTCATTTAGAAGCTAACTCATGTCATGCTACCTCTCTGAAAGCCCTTGTATGTAGTAGTCTCCCACTCAAACCTAGACAGTTCACCTCTAACCCAATAGTTATTGCCACTTTAAACATCTGGCAGCAAATAAGACAACAGTTTGGGTGGAGGGGCCTTCCCTTGGCCACACCTTTCTGCAATAACCACATGTTTCAACCTGCCAGAACTGATCCAAGATTCTCTAAGTGGTGTACTTTAGGATTGTCCTCTCTGTGTGACCTCTACGTAGACGGCATATTTGCTAGTTTTACTCAACTCTCTTCCCTGTTTAACCTTCAAAGTTCAGATATGTATGGTTACTTTCAAATCCGTAATTTTGCCAAGCATAACACATTAGCTTTTCCACATATTCCAACAGCCTCTGGTATCGATCTTTTTAATAGGACCTCCCGGCTACTGAAAGGGCAGATATCACATATTTACAACATATTATTAACAGCGATTCCCTCTGCTCTCTGTAAGATTAAAACAAGATGGGAATCAGAATGGGGCATTTCATTCTCAGACGAATGGTGGAACAACGCCCTCAAGACTATAAACTCTTCTTTGTCCTGTGCAACACTTACTCTTATTCAATTTAAAATGCTCCACAGGACTCATTACACTAAGGAACGATTATCAAAAATGCACCCAAATTTATCAGATGCATGCAATAGATGCTCTCAAGCACCTGCTCACTCAACTCATATGTTTTGGTCTTGTCCTAGGTTAAAAGAATATTGGAGATTTTTCTTTACATTTTTATCAGAGGCATTGAAGTTGAACATTGAGCCATCACCTGAGATAGCTATCTTTGGTACTCCAGGAACTGAAACTAAAATGAAGTCAATACAGAAAAACGTAATTTCTTTTGCATCCCTGATTGCTGGCCGTCGAATACTTTTACAGTGGAAAGACCCTCTACCTCCTTCAAAAGATTCCTGGCTTAAAAACTTAATGAATTTTCTGAAGCTAGAGAAGGTCAAATTCACACTTTGGGGTTCCACTGATAAATTTTATAAACACTGGCAACCACTTATAACGCACTTTGAGGATATGGATTGTTCAACACTGGATTGAAGAGTGGGTTCTCTTGACTGCTTTATGTATGTGCACATGCCTACTTGTGTGTGATCTTTGGTAAATTACCTTTTTTTATTTTTTATTTTTTATTTTTTTTTGGGGGGGGGCAATGTCTGTTTTACTTTTTATATATGTATGTATGTGTGTTTGTGTGTACATGTGTGCATATATGTATATATACTGTATGTGTATGTGTGTATATGTATACATAGAGATACACATTATCATCATTTACTTTTCGTGCAGTTTGCCCCCCTTTTTTGGGGGGGGGGGCTGGAGGGGCGGGCTGGGGGTTTGAGGGGGGAAAAAATCACTTATGCGTTGTTCTTTAAGATGAATCTTCTGACTCATTGTGGAATAAATAAAAGTATAAAAATAAAAAAAAGAAGTTTTAAAGTGCTTTAACTGAAAGTTGGTTGAAGTGACAATGTCACAAATGTTGTAAATTCTTAAACTGATGTTTTGAAAGGGTCTATGGATAAATCCATAATGTTCACTTTGATTTATCAGTTCATCATTAGAGTTTTACTCTTAGATGTTCAGCCAACCTCAGGCCAAAAACATTATTTTTGTATTCAGTTCTCAGCCTCAGTGTCATCAAATCTTTGTGATCAGGAATGATCTGCTTCTGTTGCAGCAGATTTCAGACACTTGTTCAAGTTTCAGAGCTTTAAAGTCTCAACTGTTTTCACACATTTTCAGATGATTTAGTTATTAATAACATAATTTTAAGACATGAGTCCCCAAAGATGCCTTCTATCAGAACTTGTGATTGGCCCGAGTCTCCAAAGGTTGTGTAAATACTATTTGTCCCCAAACTGCAGGTTAAAAAT